CTCTTCCCTTACGTCGTCGTCGTCGTACGTAGTACGTACGTAAGAGTATTAGTTAGTAGTATATATATATATATATATATATATATATATATATATATATACACACACACACACTAATCTGAATCTACTTTTGTTTGTTTGCGTTTTTGTGATCACTAAAACTAAACATGTTGAAATTACTCATTTTATTTTATTACCTTTCAGTTTTCAATACTTAGCTAATACAAAAAACTAAAAAACTGAAATATGCATTTTAGCAGGATTTGACCTCAAACTCTGCCTACTACACAAATGCTTTACTCAGCTAAGTTATATTCCCGATGTGGTAATTTCACTTTACCCTTAATTAGTTTGTAAAGTTAAAATGGCAACTCTTGAGCTTCAGTAAGCAAATTGGCTTGAAAAACCCAGAATCAAAAAATACTATGTTGGAGATCCCAAGCTAAGTTTTTAACTTTGGAAATTTTAAGGGGGTTGTAACATTCAGTGATGTTATAAATAGTGAAACTTATGCCTCCTACAAAAAATGGCAATAAGCAGATTATGGGTTTACATATCAATAGCCATAGCTCATGAATTCTGTCAAATTACATATCACAAACCAATAAAGAGAACAGAAAACCTGTGGCTTTTAGGATCCAACACCTTTGTCTGATAAAGAATCTGCCCTGAAACCAGAGTTGAGAGTTTGAACCCCACATGATTTCAGTTTGAATTTCTTCAGAAAATGTAATTTTTATGCAGTAAACCACTTAAATCTCTACACATAAAAACTCTGAATTATAAAACTTACTTTTCGAATGATAGATCTTCCTTTGCCAATTATGTATTTAAAGAACTGTCTGTAAACCTGAAATTCTACACGATGATTGTTTGTCAGTAACTCTCGGTTCAATTGAGAAAGATATCGGTAGCAGTTCTCAACATCTTCTTTAGGACCTCTGATGGTCACTTTGTCACTTTTAATACCTTGTTCAGGAAAGTTGATATTCACCTAAAAAACATTGATAGTTTTGTTTCAAAAAAGATTCAATAACAAAAAAAAAACTTGATAATGATAATTTTTGTTTTCCAAACAAATAATTTGGAAAGAAATATAGGCTTTTTTGAAAATAAA